GGAAGAGGGTTGGGAGAGGGTTAGGAGAGTGGGGTAGGAGAGAGGGGTGTGAGAGAGGTGTGAGAGGGGGTTATGAGAGAGAGGGGTAGGAGAGAGGGGTAGGTATTGTGTGCACAATCGCACACTACAGATACACAGGTCTGATTCACCATGGCACCGTATCCACACACCGCACCCACTCTATACCCACTACCACTATACCCACCATACCCACTACCCACTATACCCACTATACCCCACTACCCACTATACCCACTATACCCCACTATACCCCACTATACCCACTATACCCACTACCCACCATACCCACCATACCCACCATACCCACCATACCCACCCCTCTTACCATACACCTGCTCTTACCATATCGGCCACCGCCGCGCTGAAGTTCAGCTGGATGCTCTCCTCCTCCTGGCGCAGCAGCGCGTCCGCCGCAGTCACGTTGCCCGCACACTGGTCCAGAGAGGTCGCGGCCGCCTGCTCGTCCCAGCCCATACTTACCAGTTCCTGCTCCCCCAGCATGAGCGCCTCCCGGAGCTCCTCCGCCTCCTCCAGCAGCTCCCCCGCCCGGGCCACGTCCCCCTGCGCCGCAGCCAGCGCCCGCTCCGCCTCGCTCTGCACCCAGCCCATGCCCACCAGAGCCTGCACGTCCTCGGCGGGGTACACCTGGGCCGTTACGTTCGCCTGGGCCGTTACGTTCGCCTTGACCGTTACGTTCGCCTGGGCTCCTCCGCCTGTGCTGGCCTGGGGGGCGCCTGCCTCGGTGGGGACTGACTCCGCCTGTGCCGGGGCTGTCTGGGTGTTTGCCTCAGTGGGACTCCCAGAGCTCTCCTCTCCCTCGTCTGTGCTTGCGGTCTGCCATTCAGACAAGACCTTGTCCCCGAGGGTGTTGGGGGGCATGGCGCACACGCCATCTGCGCATTCCGGGTCCTCCTTGGTCAAGTTGACCTTGCTGATGTCTCTCTTATCCACCAGTGAGGACTTGACTGACAAGAGGGAGACGAAGGGGCTCCTGGTGGTGAGTACAGGGGCTAGCAGGAGGCTGAGGAGGAGGGTGAGGAGGAGGATGGAGCGCCGGGGGGGGTGGGCGCTAGGGGCGAGAGAAGCTGTCCGGTGCATGTTGAACATAGTGACTGAGAGCTAAGCTGCAGGGAACAAGCAGTGTGCAGGATACAGTGTGCAGTGTGCAGGTCCAAGTTGCAGTGTGCAGTGTGCAGTGTGCAGTGTGCAGTGTGCAGTGTGCAGGTCGCAGGATACAGATGCAGGTCGCAGGATGCAGGGATCACGGATACGATCTGAATGCAAGAGCAGGCAATGGAAGTAAGCCGCGGAAGAGGAAGCGGGCAGCGACTGAACTTGCTGTGCAGCAGAGAACGACAACCAGTGGCAGTATCTCCAGCAGGAGGTCCGAGGTGACAAAAAAGAGCAGACAAGGGAAAAAAAACAAAATGCTGAACGACCACTCCAAGACTTGAACTCGGAATCTTTACCTCCGGAGGGTAACGCCTTATCCATTAGGCCAAGCGGTCCCACAGGGCTACTTTCAGGGTAGAAATTTTAGCGATAGCTTTTCAAATATATAGTATGTACAACGGGGGAGAAGGAGGGGGTAAGACATGAGCAGGAGGCCTTGGCTGATTCCGACACAAGGGCTGTTGTTGCCCAGCCCGCTCGGATTGGGCCTGCCGGGCCTTTGAGCCCTGCGGTACTCGGCAGTGTGGGTGTTGCCGAGAGTGCTCAGACTGCCTCTGTCGCAGAGGCTGCTGCGATTGCGTCTCCGACTACGCCGGACACTACCCAGGCCACGGCGTTCGGGGTTGGAGAGCTTTCTCAGCAGGTAATAAAGTATTGTCCTCATATTTCATCTTATACTATATACTATATTTAATATTATATAATATTTTTATATAAATATAGCAGTCGCAGACCAGCTCGGAGCGGATCGCAGAACTCGACGAGCACATTGCTTCTGCACAGCATTCGGTGGATATTGCAAATATGCATTCTACGAATACACCGCGCGCTATCGAACTCTACCAAGTCGCCATCCGGCAATTAGAGAGAGCCTCCACTCTGGCAACTGAAATTGCGGCCTCCACTCAAACTCCGCAGGAGGACGCGATCTGCACCGCACCGGCAGACGGACCCAAAAACACCTCACGCAGCAGCAAGAGACTTGCTGCTCAACCCGCCACGAAGGAGGTTGCTAGCACTCATTCAAAAATCAAGCGGCTACTCGCTCTATGGAAAATAGACCTTCAGAGTCTGAGGGACCTCAGAATTGGATAGTCCCTGCTCAACCTAATTGCTTGTTAATAATAAGGGTCTACTCGATGCATCTTTTTATGCTTGTTGAGCATAAATATTTTATT